CCCTCGAACCACTTAAACATATTTTTTAGACTAATTGGCTTTTTCAATATTTAAACTATGAAATATGAACTATGAAATATGAACTATGAAACATTCTTAAGGAGTAATAATTTTAATTAAAACATTTTTAAAAAGTGAATATTTGCAAATTATCTTTTTTCCATCTCATGATCTGAGTTCGTTTTCCAGCTTTTGTCCATTTGACAGCCCAATTTTGTTTTAATATTCTTTTTGGTTTGTTTATTTTCTTGTGGTTTTTAACAATTTTTTTTATCGATTTTGATGGTTATTTTAACGTTAAAACTGAAGAGGGTCAACCCAGATCAAAATATATTTTCAATAAATGTAGAACTAACATCTCCTTTTTTTACTCTACAGAGGTTTGGTCCATCACCATCACCGTATTTTAAATAAGAAATATAAATTATTAACAGAGAGAAGTTTTTAAACCAGCTTTATGATATCTAGTATACACGCTACCGGAGCAGTAATTGTACAATATAAAATTAGTTTTTGTTAGGACTAATTATCATCTTTTGATTTATTGTTATATTTTATTGTTAGAGCAAAATGGCAAAAAAAAAATTGGCTGGGTGGGGTACATGTTCATGTCTACTTTTTTCGGCTTTAAAAGAATTTGTGAAGGTACTTAAATGTATAAATTGTAAATGGATCTTTATTCAAACTTCAAGGTTTATCTGCAAAACTCCAAGGTTTTTATGATAAAACCTATAGCTTAGGTTTAGATGAAAAATTCCATGAATGATGTTTAACTCAAAGGTTCAGGCAATAAAGTTCAATGTTTAACTAAATAACTCCATGCTTTAGATGATAAACCCATATATCAGATAATAAACTCAAAGGTTTAGAGGATAAACTTCATGGTACAGGTGTTAAACTCTATGCTTTAGATGATTAACTCATGGACATTTACACTAACACACACACAGGTAGCTAAGATTCAGCCCACCTGGTTAAAATAAAAGTGATTAATTATTGACGGTACAAAAGCAAGTTATCAGACAAATTTGGCATGCAATGCCCGACTTACAACGGTGTCTTATACAGGGTGACCCTCGAAACATGACAGTTGGTGAATAGTTTAAAATGTCTTCTTCCATAATTTGTTACGTTGTTTGATACAGTGAATCCCAGATATATGAATACATAGACCGTCGTAAGTATTTTGATAATTCTTAAGAAATATGAATGCTTTCGATACATTAATAGTCATACTATAGTAAAATTGATTTCACAGTAAAATATATATGAGATAAACATTTTTTAAAAGAAATAAATTGCATAAAAGCGTTTTATATCTAATACAGTATGTGGAAGAAGACATTCAAAACTATTCACTAACTGTCATGTTTCGTGGGACACCCTGTATGTAAAGCCTTGTCTGATCCACTATGAATTAATGTTTATAATTTATAAAACTGATTGTGTTCAGGATTTATGAGAGTTAAAAACCTTTTAACCCAGAAAAACTAAGATATCTTCCACATTATGGATCAGATAAAGGGTACAGGTGTGAATCGGGCATTGCAATCGTTGCACGGCGGGTCACTTAAAGTAACGCATACTGTCTCTTTAAGATGACCAAATTTGAAATTCTTAATTTGATCTGTGGAACAGGTTTTGAAGAGACTAGACAATCCAGCAATTTTTACAGGGAGGGGGGCATCTTCTTAAAAATCTTCAATAAAATGAAATTTGTGCATTTACAAAAACAATGCTAGTCTCTAAAAGTATACTGAGTCTTGATTCATATAACTATTTCTATTTAGAAAAAAAATCTATATATAAATATATACATAACTGCTATATCTAAAGATATGCATACAATTTAAGCATAAAGCAGTAATCACTGTTTGTCTGTCTGTTTTTTTTTGTTTCATTTATATGTCCGATCCTAGCTCATTAAAAGCGTTTCCAAATTTTTGTTTAGCTAACGAAAATGGGAACGACAAAAATGGGAACAACGAAACCGAAATTTTTATTTTTTTATTTCGCGAAATATTAGAACTTTCAGACAAAGTCCTATTTTTCACAAAAATGTTCAACCTTTCGTTGAAAATCCTTTGTTTTCGCAAAATCTTTTGACAAACAATTAGCGCAAAATTTAAACCTAATTTCACGGATTTTTTTATATACATTAAAGGTGAACCTATCCTAATTCTTAAATGATATTTTATTTTAAATTGTGAACCATGTAAATATCCTTTTCTTAATTCACAGTGTAAATATATCGTTTGTTAGAATCAGAAATTCAGGCGGCCATAAGTCACGATATTTCCCTTCCATGCCACATATTAGCTTTTTTTTGTCTTCTGGTAGCCATTAGCCACAACCCTTCGGTCTTCCATGCCAGAACATTTAAGTCTTCCGGCAAGTATTACGCTTTTAACTGATGAATTTAGTGCATTGAAATCGCAATGGAAAAATATCTGAATTTAAACACTCAGTTCATAAATTAGTAACAATACAGATTGAACAGTAGATGTCGTCATTTCAAGATTTAGGCAGAGGCCCAAAGGAGCTTAAGGCATATGCCGCGTTGAATTACAAGACAGAGAGAGCGCATGCGCGTAACCCATTTGGGTTTCTGCCTCAGAGTTATTGTGAACGAAAAACCCCTAAATCTTGAAAAGAAGACATTTAGTGTTCCATCTGTATTGTTATTAATCTATGAAGTGAGTAGTAAGCCGTCTGTCTGGTTCATAAACTGTTTAAATTCAGATTTTTTGCCATGCGCATTGCAACTCATCTGTGTGCACTGCGCATAGAGAAAAGCCGGGCTGGTTTTTACTTTCATAATGAGGTTTACATAACTCAAGTTTCTTATTTAACAGAATTAAAAAAGAATTATATTTTTTCCGGTTTTGGAAAATATTTTGAAAAAATTATCTCTTAAACGTTTGTAAATATTTTGAGTTTCTTTAAGTTTTCATTTTTTTTTGTGATGAATGATGTGCGTTAACACGCCCGAGGGTTCATAGAGAAACTTCGTTCTATTTTCTTAACATGGTCAGTCTTATTTACGCTTGATATAGTGGTGTAGTAACCAGCCGACAATAGTTAGATATATAGAGCCAGGACCAAATTTAATTAATTTGAGCTAGGTCGCTCAACTTTCTACTGCCGGTTCAAATTTAAACTACCGATTCAAAGTTAAATTAAAGTAAATCAATTACAGTAGATCTAAGGTTTTCATTTTATTGAAATAAGAACAAGGAAGCATGAACCAGGTACGGCATAATTTCCGTACAATCGTCTTTGAAGTCTCATCCTTTGTGGGTTTCCCTGTATGAAATCTTGTTTGTTTTATATAAAAATTTCTTTAGAGATGTTCCAATACCTGTGCAATAAACTAAATCTTGAAGAAAATAATAATAATAATAAGGATAATAATTATGCACAAAAAAGTAAATTGAACTGTAATTAAAGTGATCCTCCATTTAAAATAAATTAATGCCCAATTTTCAACGATGCCCTTTCAGTCATTGTGAAAAGAGAAAATATCGTCGATCTTTAAAGTGTTTAATTTTGTAAAATTCTTTCGTTGTCTCTGAGGTGCGTACAATTCGATATTACCTTTGGTTCCGCAACCACATCTAGAAATTCTAAGAAGGAAAAATGTGGATTTTTAACAAATGTTTGCCCTGATGGTCTATTCGACTCTGTTGTTACAGATGTAAAACGGATGACTTGCATTTTTTATGTCTCAAAATATCTTGACGAAAACGAAAGTCAGTGTTCAAAACTTTCAATTTTGCTTATCACATACTATAACTTTTTAATGACAATTTTTACAATTTTTACAAGTGACATTTTTATGTGACTGAAACGAAAGTAAAAAAAATTGTTGGTCCGTCTTGACAACTTTCAATTTTGCTTATCACATACTATAACTTTTTAATGACAATTTTTACAATTTTTACAAGTGACATTTTTAGTGACTGAAACGAAAGTAAAAAAAAATTGTTGGTCAGTGTTCAAAACTGTCAATTTTGTTTCTCACGTACAATAACTTGTTCATGACAATTTTTACAAGTAACTTTTGATTCCCGTTTATACAAGTCACGGGAAGGAAATAATTTAGAATGTAATTTCAAGTTACCGTCATATCAAAGATGGAAATGCCCGATTCATAACGGTACCCTTAATACCTCTGACTGATCATTAATGTTAAAGCAATTTAGAAAGTTTAAAAAAAATGTTCAAAGAAGTTAATGTACTTAAACCTTATAACGTTTGTAATGGAGGGGGGGTTAAAAAAAATCAGAAATCCTTAATGACTTTTTTTTATTAGTTAAGAATTCTGATTTATATATTTGAAAAGCCCTTAAAAAATGGATGTAATATCATGTGTCACATGCTAACCTTTGTCAAAATTAAACGAAATTATATTTAAACGTTTATTCTACGTACTTTTTAAACTTTTTAAAAACCCTATCTTGCAACCTAAACTTAAAGTTAGAGGTCTAACTTTTTTTGATTTACAAGCCTTGAAAAGTTGGACTATGGACATGTTTCACACTTTCCTATCTCAACTCAAGGAAAAAATCATAACCCCCAACCTATATATAAAATAGCCCAACCAGGTTTAGAGTAAATTTATTTTCCAAGTGAAGACGACTTTAGACTTTTTAAATACGACGAAGTTAAAATAAGTTTTTATATAGTGTCTTTGTATGGCCTAGAATGTATGGTCTAGAATGTATGGTCTAGAATGTATGGTCTAGAATGTATGCAGTCTAGAATGTATGCAGTCTAGAATGTATGCAGTCTAGAATGTATGCAGTCTAGAATGTATGCAGTCTAGAATGAATAATGATCGAGCAAAAAGAGAAACAGTTTTACAATTGTTGGAAATCATGAATATAAACAGACAGCATAAATTCCGTACAGTCGTCTCTGAAGTCTCATCATTTGTGTGTATCTCTGTATGATACGGAATGATATTCTCCTGAAAGCGGATTATACTAAGAATTTAAAAATTCTTCTAATTGTTTAGATTAAAATGTCAAATCCTAATTTAATTGATGGATCTGGTTAATCTAATTATGGAAAACCAGGATCAACCTCCATGGTAAGTACCAACATACCGCACAGACATTGTACAACATTGATCACTGATCTGTGCAACGATTTAAAGTCAGCCTGGTCCCATGATTTATTTCTAGATTTTGAATTTATTAATGTTCTGCAACCTAAGGAATAAGTTATGGTTCGGATTTGCTAGATTTGACATAAAAACCTATGATAATGATAATATTCTGAAAGTTGATCATACACAAATTCTGACAAACTATATGAAAGTGAGTTTTTTTTGCTTCACTTTTTTTGGCAGAAAATACTTTTATTTTATAAATTAATTATAATATTTTTAGTTATGAAAGTCTTTTCTCCGATGTGGAAAACTCCCACCATCAACATTTCAGGAGATTCAGGTATATTTTTTTATATTTTAAAATTTCAAATCAGTAAACAGGGGTAAGAAGAATATAGCATAGAATGAGTTCAAGAATTCTAGCAGTATATTTACCATTGCTAAATGTTTTGTAAGAATACGCAATAAGAAATGTCATCTTTACATATAAAGAGTAATATCAATCTTAACAGGTAGAGAGAAAATTGGCAACAAATGTCAAATTTCGTCCTCTAAAGAAATTGAGTCTTTGCAACAAACTCTGATTATATAACCTCTCTACATCTTTTTAAATCAATCTCGTAGACCTGAGATATTTCAAACTGTGAATTCTGTTTGATCAAATAATCTGAGTTTGAAATACCAAAAGTTTAAACCATCAGATTGAATATGTTGCAAAGACTCAATTTCTTTGAAAATTGTCATTTACAAAACTTTGGAGACTTGTGCAATTAAAGTTGAATTTGGCGTTCCATGACACATTTGGTAGATGATAATTTCTAATTTCTTATTGGGCTGAAGACCAGAAAGGATGTTTATGTTTTATCGTTGCTTTGGTTACGTTCTATGTAAGGAAAATTTTTTTATTATACAAGCTCATGTCAAAACGCTTTCTCTTTCAGTTTTGAAGAGAAATATGTAAGAAGTGGTATTTGAAAAAACACATCTCATTGGTTTGGATTTTTTATCCTTTACTTTATATTGCATTTCGTGCAACACCGTATCATGCAACAACATTTGAAGAATAATGCAATTTCTAAGAGTGTTCCACTTTGTCTTTCTTTTGTCTCATAGTCATATACTGTTTTTTTTTCCTTTGTCTCATAGTCATATACTGTGTTTTTCCTTTGTCTCATAGTCATATACTGTTTTTGCCTCTGACTACATGAATTTTGTTTCCTACTTAACAACACAATTATAATAAAAGAAGAAAAAATTTTTGTCTAATGATAAAAAGCTAATCAAAAAAAAATCATTTGTATGATATTGCTGCGGACAGCATAATCTCAATGTCTGATATTTTTGACAACCACAGTATAGATGGATAAGATATTCATTTAACACTTAAATGACTTCTGGAGAATATGCTTTTTAAGTTTAATTGGAACAAATTGTTATTTTTTTCTAGTTTATGCTTTTTAAGTTTAATTGGACATCCTGGTTCGTTTTCTCAATTATCTGAAGAATTTAGTTAAATAACGAGTAATTTTAAACATATTCATTTAACACTTAATTGACTTCTAGAGAATATGATTTTTTAGTTTAATTGGAATGGAACACATAGTTAGTTTTTCTAGTTTATGCTTTTTAAGTTTAATTGGACATCCTGGTTCGTTTTCTCAATTATCTGAAGAGGATATAAAATATATCAAAATTAATTTCCGAACCCGAGTTTTTCTACCTGTGAGAGTAAAACCTTTTTTTGCTCGTTTGGAAAATTTACATTTACACATTTCTAACAGGGTACAGCAGGTTCCCACAGCCTTCTCTCACACTTAGATAAGAAGATTTGAAGAACATTCCTAAACTGGTTCATTAGTTTCTTCAATGAGATCAGTTTACAAAACTTAAACTAATCCTTCACATTTATGTTCTCCAGTAGCAGTTATTATTATGACTCATTCTATAAATTTGGGAATGGAAAATGACCAGAATTTACAAGACCCCCCCACCCACCCCCCAATCCTTAATTCAATGAACATTTCCTTCAGTTTTGACAATACCATCAATCTTTAAGGTTGACCATAATTCTTACACTTTTCATTTTTTTATTCCACTTCAAAAAAAACCCTCTCCCCTAATTTGCTTACTTTTTTATAAATTTCTAGAAAGTTATTTGTTACATTATCTTTATTTTTAATTTGAAATAATTTTGGTCATTTTCTGTAGGACTGAAGAGGATATAAAATATATCGAAATTAATTTCCAAACCCGATTTTTTCTATACCTGTGAGAGTAAAACCTTTTTTTGCCAGTTTGGACAATTTCCATAACTGAAGCAATTAGCTAAATAACGAGAAAAACATCTTTATATTTATTTATAATAATTCATAAGGGATTGCAAACCCAGGGATGGCTTAAAGGAACTGTAAGTGTATAATTTCAAGTGACCCTCCAAGCAAGGATGACAATGCCCGATTCACAACAGCACTCTTAAAAGCTTTGTCTTATCAATCTTAAAGTAGATATCCGGCCTCATAATTTTGAAAGCTGATAATTTTCTGTAGTGGTATCCGTACAAAAGTTACAATTGCGCATTTATACTACAGGAAAACATATAGGATCTTTCGGAATTAATCACTTTTAAACATGGAAATAATAAAACATTTTCAACATGTTTGATCCATAGGCTACCGTTATGAGAAACCATGGAAAATCACTTGAATTACGCTCTCACTCTTAAAGGTGGGGGAGGGGGGGGGAGGGTGACACATAAAAAGGAAGGTATACCATATACAGTGAGAACCAGAAAACTCTGGATTAAGAAGACGCAAGTTATGACTCTAAATAGTCCAATGAACATGAGACTAATCAATTGTGCAGTGTGACCAGATTCAATACAATGTACAAGTTTGTTAATAAGTCTCTAGTAAAACTATTTGCTTTTTAACTACATAAAATACACTTAAGTTTCGCTGTAAAGTCGTCTTCCTATTCCACAGTTTGCTGGTTCTCACTGTAGTCCTTAAAAATGATTGTTAAGGGTAGATTAAAAAATATTTACGGTTTAAACTGAAAACATTTAATTACCAACCAAGTTGTTTCATCATATTTAATGGTAAATAGAAATAAGGATGTTGTATTGGAAAATGGCAACGTAATGACTTAAAATTTCTAAACTTCATAAAAATTATTGATCAATTGCAATGAAGATTGTATTAAAAATGTTTTAAAACCATATTAGGTTATGCAAAAATGATATCGATCAAAGAAAACATTTCTTTATTATTATGTACTATTATGCTTTTAATCTTAAAAATTAATTTGAAAAAATATCATAAAATATTTTTTAGTCTTCAACCGAATCAGAATCAAACTTTCTTCTACAAGGTTTTTACTATAGAGAATACCATTGATACAAAACAGGTATGATAAATCATTTAATATTAGGTACTCGTACTATCCTAAAGGCATTATCCCAAATGGCAAATTCCCAAGGATATTTTCGCAAATAGCAACTTCCCGAGAGCATATTTGCAAGTGGCAACTTCCCAATTTTGAAATTTAAGAAGCGGCAACTTCCCAAATCTGTCCTAGCCGCAGCGCTCGACTCTCTTAAGTCCTAACCTAACCTTTGGGAAGATATGCTGCTTGGAAAATTTCACATTTGGTAAATTTCCACTTGGGAAACTTTCACTTGGGAAGTAGCCCTTGGGAAAATACCTAACACCGTTATTTACTGGGTTACCCATAATTCATAAAGAATACATTAATGTAAAAAACCTGTTTACAGCTTCGGAGAACAGTAAACTTTAAATAAAAGACTGGGCAATTCCGCACAGTCGTCTTTGTAATCTCATTGTTTGTGGGTAACCCTGTATGTAAATCTGGGGTAGAACGTTTTTTAATATTAATCCATGTTTTTTTTCTCTAATCTAACGGTGATTTATATTTCTAAATTGGTTTTTTTCCATCAAAGCACTAGTTGCTCCGAATAAAAAGTTCCGCTGTGGCAGACAAGTCGTCCTACTTTCCGACATAATGTCTGCAAGTAGTTACCTGATCAAAACTCATGTGATATACATAAACAGTCGCCATATTAGTTATCATTGTTTCTTTGTTTTGATATATGAAAAATATAGTTAGTTGTTTATAGACTTTTGTCTTTTATTTAGCCGTCGCTAAATCTGGTGACCTCGACATGATTAACTCCCTTACATATTTTGTCCGTATTTTTTCGCAGCACTCTTTTCTGAAGTGAGCCGGGCTCCCTGTTTTCATCACAGTCCACTCCTTAAGTAAGATTAGAAGCGGTGAATAAGCTTTTTGGTGTGATAGTCAACGAATATGGCCACCCAATCAAGTGAAGCGTTGCCCAGTGTCGGAGCTGTTGCCCTCAAGCTTCCCCCTTTTTGGCCTGAATCTGCGGAAGTATGGTTCGCCCAGGCTGAGGCCCAGTTCAACATCAAGGGGATCAGCAGCAGCACCACCAAGTTCTACCACTGCGTGGCTTCAATGTCCCAGGAAGTAGCCTCTCAGATGCTAGATCTCATTCGAGCCCCTCCAGCCTCTGAAACCTACAAGGTCCTTAAAGCACAGTTAGTTAAAACCTACGGTCTCAATGACTATCAGAGGTTCAAGAGTTTGATTTCTCTACCACTCTCTGGTGATCAGAAGCCGTCTCACCTGATGAACAGGATGATCGCCCTGCTCCCGGAGGATTTCAAGCCTGGCTTCATCTTTCGAGGTTTGTTCCTGCGCTGTTTACCTGCAGATGTTCGTGCACACCTCCTCAGGAAGATATATCCGACCCTTGTGCTCTTTGTTTGTAGGCAGATGAATTGTACCACAGCCTTGCCTCCGCTTCAGTTAATGTTCTGTCCTCTGAAGAAACCTTGGATCCTCAGATTGTCAACGCTGGTAGGGGGCCAAGCAGTGCAAACAGAGGTTGTCGCTCTAGTTCAGCTACAACGGGTCGTCGTCCTGCTTCAACCCTTTGCTGGTATCATTGGACTCATGGTGAGAATGCTTTGAATTGCCGTAAACCCTGCTCCTGATCGGGAAACTAGCTGGCCGCCGGAAGGAATCCTTTTCTCTTCCTGCCGGCAATTCAAGAAGCTCCAGCCTGATCTATCTACAGGACTCCTTGAGCAAACGCAAATTCCTGATAGACTCCGGAGCTTCAGTGTCCGTTTTTCCTTGTTCAAAGCCTTCCAACAACAGTTCCAACTCTGACATCAAGCTCCTCACCGAGGACGAATCCACCATGTACTACAGCGGAACCAGGATTATTCCTCTTTGTTTTGGTTCCAAAAGTTATGATTGGAAGTTTCATCTTGCTCCAGTGTCTGCTCCAATCCTTGGAGCTGATTTTCTCCGGCATAATCACCTTCTGGTCGACATGGCTGGTGGCAGAGTTCTTGAATCCTCTTCTCTCAACAGTGTCGGAGAAAGTTTTTTGTCTTCAGATGATCCCGGTTTTCTGAGGGCGGCTCTTCTTTCAACACCAAAATGTATTCGAGAATTGCTATCAGATTTTCCAGATTTTCTCTCCTCAGACGGATTCACAGCTTCTCCGCCTTGTCATGAAGTTCGTCATCATCTCCTCACTCAGCCTGGCGGTCTTTGCTAAAGCTAGGAGATTGGATCCGGACAAGTTAGAGATCGCCAAGAAGGAGTTTGAATCCATGGAGAAGGCAGGCATTGTCAGAAGGTCAACCTCTCCCTGGTCAAGTCCTCTCCACATGGTAAAGAAGAAGGACGGTTTGTGGAGGCCCTGTGGAGATTATCGTCGTCTCAAAGGTATCCTTTGCCCAACATTGCTGATTTTTCTTCTCAAATCTCAGGATCCAAAGTTTTTTCCAAACTCGACCTGCAGAAGGGATATTATCAGGTTCTGATGGCTCAGGATGACATCAAGAAAACTGCAATCATCACTCCATTTGGGATGTTTGAGTTCTTGCGACTTCCTTTTGGACTTAGAAACGCTGGACAAACCTTTCAACAGCTCATGGATCAGGTTCTCGGAGGTTTGCCTTACTGTTTTGTGTATGTGGATGATATCCTAGGTTTTAGTCCTGATCTCTCTTCTCTTGTGGTTCATCTCCGGGAAGTTTTTGAGCTCTGCCATCTTCACGGTCTCACTGTGGGTCTGCCTAAGTGTGTGTTTGCGGTTTTCGAGATCAAGTTCCTTGGTCACAACCTCACAAGCTCTGGATGCCAGCCCCTGAGCAAGCACACCTCTGCTGTCAATGAATTTCCTACTCTGACAGATAAACCTGCTCTCCAGAGATTTCTTGATATGGTGAATTTTTATAGAAAGTTTATCAAGGACGCAGCTCTCATCCTAGCTCCTCCTCCTCTCACCAACGCTCTGAAGGGTCCTGATAAGCAGTTAGTGTAGTCCTCAACAATGGAATCCGCCTTTCTTCAAGCAAACGTCTTCTCTCCGCCGTGCCTACTCTATTTCATCCAGCACCTGGTTCAGCTTTGTCAGTGGCCGTGGATGCATCCGAATCTCATGTTGGAGCAGTTCTCCAGCAGCAAATGCGGGGAAGTTGGTTTCCCTTATCTTTCTACTCTAGGAAGCTGAATGATGCTGAAAGGAAGTACTCTGCCTTCGACAGAGAACTTTTAGCTGTCTACTCCGCCATCCACCATTTTCGCCTCATGCTCGAAGGTAGAAGTTTTACACTCTATACTGACTACAAACCTCTAACTTTTGCTATTTCCAGGACGTCTCGCCCTGGTCCACCTGTCAACAGCGTCATCTCTCTTACATCTCCGAGTTCAACTCCAGCACAGTTCACCTACCTGGAGCAGAAAACTGAGTCAATGATGTTCTGTCCCGACCTACTGTTCCACAAGTTTACTCCCTCAGAGCAAGACAGCTTGGACTCAAACCCTGACATGTTCCCTTGGTTGCGTCCAGTCTGTTTCTCCGAATCCAGGTTTAACAACAGGACCAGGTTTCAGTTTTGATCAATTAGCTGCTCTTCAATCCTCGTGTAGTTCTGTTCAATCTCTTCTCAACTCTGGTTCTCTCAAGATTATTTCCGTTCCCTACAGAACCACTGAAGTTTAATGTGACATTTCAACCGGAGTTCCAAGACCCCTTGTTCCTTTTTCTCTCAGACGGAAACTTTTTGACTTGCTGCACTCCACAACTCACCCTGGAATACGAGGTTCTAAGAGATTGATTTCTTCACGTTTTGTCTGGCCTAAGATGTCAAGTGAAATTGGTTCCTGGTCTAGATCTTGTTTGCAGTGTCAGCGGAGCAAGATCAGTTTTCATGTGAAGTCCAGTGTTCCTCAAATTCCAGTTCCTGGACGACGTTTCTCTCATGTTAATATCAACATTGTAGGGCCTCTTCCATCAAGTCATGGTTTTTCATATCTACTCACGATGATCAATAGAAGTACGAGATGGCCTGAGGTAGTTCCTTTATCTTCAATTACTGCTGAGTCCTGTGTAAGAGCATTTATTTTAACCTGGGTCTCAAGGTTCAGCGTTCCTGACACTCTGACTTCAGATAGAGGAAGCCAGTTCATCTCCTCAATCTGGACTGCAGTTTGCAGAGAACTAGGAATCATGGTGTCCAGAACAACCTCTTATTATCCCCAGGCTAATGGTATGATCGAACTGTTCCACAGAAGCTTGAAGGTTGCTCTCAGAGCTCGAGCAGCTGGTTCAAACTGGTTTCAACATCTGCCTCTGGTTCTTCTGGGACTTTGTACTGTTCCTAAAGAAGATACTGGTTTTTGTTCAGCAGAAGCAGTTTATGGATCTGCTCTCAGCATTCCAGGAGAGTTTCTGAGCGTTCCAGAGTTCCCACCAGATTCTTTCTTGAGGAAAATCCAGTTAGCTTCATCAGGCCTCTCCGCCCCTCCTCCTCATCATGTAGCTTCCGCTGCTTCTAAACCTCTACCAAACTCTCTGCTTCAAGCTGATTTTGTTTTTGTCCGTGAAGATGCCTCCCTTCCCACCCTCTCTCCGTTATACAGAGGTCCTTTTAAAGTGCTGGAACGTCAGAGCAAATTCTTCCGCCTCCAGATTGGTGACAAGGTTGATGTGGTATCCTTTGACAGACTCAAACCAGTGATATCCAACTCCACGATCATTCCCGCCAGTCCTCCTGCTTATGGTCGTCCAATCCTCCGTCCTCAAGGTCCAAAAACAGATTCATCCGCCTCAGCTCCGCCTCGAGTCGTCAGGAAGGTTCTTTTCAAGTTCAGCCTGCAGTTCCTGTTCGCAGAAATCCTCACAGAACAGAAAGGAGTTATTCAAGAAACCTCGCCTCCGCCTTCAATCTCTCCACCTCGGTTTCTGGGGGGAGTTCTGTGTCGGACAAGTCGTCCTACTTTCCGCCGTAATGTCTGCAAGTAGTTATACCTGATCAAAACTCATGTGATATACATAAACAGTCGCCATATTAGTTATCATTGTTTCTTTGTTTTGATATATGAAAAATATAGCTAAACCGCTGTGGATTGTTCAGGATTTAAAGATTAGAACTGATATTATCCTTCAGACTTGAATACATCATTCAGGGTTATTATGGAACATGCAGTTGATATAATCTTTGTTTAGAAGAAGAAAATGGAGGTAGCTGCATACTATGGAGAATTAGGTGAAAATAAATTGAAATGTCAAAAAGTTTAATCTAAAAATTGGATCGAATAAGAATATATATTTATTAATAGTTTACGTTTAAGTGATTGAATGGCAGTTTTTCGTGTGTAAACTACACTCAAGACGACATGTAAAACTCTAGACGACATTTAGAAACTTCCAGTTTGAAGTTAATTCTCATTTTTATTTAGATCATAAATCTCGAATTAACGGCGAAGGCAGCCTGGTGTGGAATTCGGGGGAATTTTATCAGGTTTAAAAAACATTTTCCATTTTCTTTTTATTTATTTGGTTCTGAGAATTCTGGGCATTGTAAACTAATTAATGCATAAAAGTGCCCACAATATCGGATATCAAGATCAAGCATTCAGAACACAAATGTCTTAGCTCAGGAGAACTTTTAGCATATCTATATAATCTTTGATAAAATCTATCAATAAGATATTCAAGGGTTTAAAATAAAGGTTTTGTAAAGGGGAATATAAGATATTTACCGATGGTGTATCTTTCGACCTACGCACATCCGCTATGCTAAACTTCTGACCTATTCGCACATGGTTTTACAGCTGTTATTGTTAATAAGTAATTTTACCGCAGCGTTCGGCCCACAAATTGTCTTAACCTTACCTAACCCTCAAATAATTCTAAATAAACAGTTGTCGTAGTTCACCCACCCACAGAGAAGACGGCACTCAAACCTTCTTGTTATAAAATATTTTTTTTCGCAACTTTTATGTTGATTTATCAAACTGCTTTAACTATAAGCCAGTAAGGATCTTTTACAGTTTATACAGTAGGACTCATAAAACTGTAAGATGTACAGTACAGGACTCATAAAACTGAAAGATATACAGCAGGACTCATAAAACTGTAAGATGTACAGTAGGACTCATAAAACTGAAAGATGTACAGTAGGACTCATAAAACTGAAAGATATACAGTAGGACTCATAAAACAGTAAGATATAACGCAGGACTCATAAAACAGTAAGATATACAGTAGGACTTATAGATTTGAAAATTGGAAAACGAGTATTGCAAGCTTGACAGAAAGAGAAGGTCAAAAAGAAAGATAAGGCTAATTTTATTTGGTTCCATGTTTGAAGGTCAAAATATTTTTGTTCGTCTTAATGGCTTTCTAATAAAAGGGGTTATATATGATTGAAAACGTATACGATTCTAATACTATGTTCAGTTTAACGTACGATTCTTAGACTTAATTTTTTATCTTGAATAGTTTAAGTAGATTGTCAAGTACTTAACAACCTATAATTTGGAATAGTCTAATAAACAGGAAACACTATATTTGTCCATAGCTGAAAACTTTAGAATGGGATATCCTTAATCCCGATCGGTCAATTAATCTGGAGATTAAAAAGAAGAGGAGAACAAGCACTATTTAATCTTGAGATTAAGAAAAAGAGTGGATCAAGCCTTAATCCCGATCTCAACCATTCAAAAGTTCCCAGCTTCCCAAAATACAATTACCTCATTGAAAATAAAATGTTTTAGGGAACGTTTAAAAAAGGCTGTATACATGGTAATGGAACATTATGCGTGTAAGTATTTAAATTGTTAGAATTTGAAAGGCTTACAAATGAATGTTCAGTGTTACAATTTTTTTCTAAGTGAAGAGTTTGTCGACAAAAATTTAAGTGATCTTGATGATTAAATTTTCAATTGTGAAAAAAAAATTCATACAATTCAACAAGTTTTAAAACGCCATTGTGTTTGTTCATTTACAGCAAATACACTAGATAGCAACGTAGAACTTGTACTGCACTCTCAGTAGAGCAGATTATGCACCTGAATCCTACTGTATCTTCGGTTAGTGTACTGCAGATTACGCAACTGAATCCTACTGTATCTTCGGTTAGTGTACTACAGATTACGCAACTAAATCTTTCTCTATCTTCGGTTAGTGTACTGCAGATTACGCAACTGAATCCTACTGTATCTTCGGTTAGTGTACTGCAGATTACGCAACTGAATCCTAGAGTCTTCGGTTAGTGTACTGTAGATTACGCAACTGAATCCTACAGTATCTTCGGTTAGTGTACTGGAGATTACGCACCGAAAACTTAGTTGACGGTGAATGTAAGTTGATGTTTTTAGACCAAGAACAAATGAAGTATTTTCTGTGGAAGCTAGAAAAAACAAGGTTACAATTGTTTTATATCTTATAAAAATCGTTTTTTCATCAAATTGGACTTTTTCGTTGCTTAGTTAAAAAAAATGCAGGGTTCACTTGGTTCTCCTGTTATTTTTTATTGGGGGGGGGGGGGGNTTCCACCATCCCACTACGATGAAAGTTCGAAGAAAAAATGATGAAAAATATTTATCTTTACTGTGGAAAATATATCCAGTTTAAAGGACTTTTCAAATAAAAAAAAGATTTTTTTATTTTAGATCTGTATCTTAATCAATAAAAAAGCTTTTAACTATTATTGATTTTTTTAAAAACACTAGGTAACCTTTAGACAGTCCTTCACTCTACCTCATGTATCAAAAATAAACGATAAATTTGTTCACAAATATATAGTTAACAAAGTGAAGAAGATAGAGACAGAAGTCTGTGTAAGCCATTTTTAAGTTAGAAAGAATCACCACAGGGTGGGGGGCGGAACAATTGGTTAAAAAAAATTTTATTATTAAGATTTATAATTTATTACGAATTAAGAAAAAAGTTCTTAACCACAGTGAGACAATTCAAAAATTGACTTTTTTCATTTTAAATAATTTAATATAATTTTGTTTAGATTTTGAAGAAGACACTGCTACAAAATATAGAGATTAAGGACTATTACATTAAAGGGACTGTAAAGGAAAAATGAAAGGAGGTATAGGCTGAAAGCTAATCACTTTAGCTCTCGATCGCGACCCATGAAAGTTTTATCTGATGTTCCTATCTCGAGAAATTGATTTACAACTGTGTCAAATTTATACGAAAATTAATATAAATACAATTTTGTTTAAACGTAGTGGGTTTAAATAGATAAAATTCAGCAAATAAGCAACCAATCTGAAAACGATAATATCCCCGGGAAAGCTAATTATTACTTAAGTTTACTCCAATTCTAATTTTATATTTGTTATTTCTATTTTTAATAGATTTAATTCATAATATTATTTACACGTCCGAATTGGTTGACCAGAAAATCCACCAATGACAGTGCAGTAAAGTGATCACGTGATACAGGCAGAGACACGTGATCAGTATACTGCTCTGCCATTGGTGATAGTTCTGGTCACGTGATTTAAGTTTAAGATTTTCTAAATTTTACATATTTGAACTTTCGTATGATTTTAACACAGTTTTATATCAATTTCTCGAGATAGTAACATCAGATAAAACTTTCATGGGTCGCGATCAAGAGCCAAAGTGATTAGCTTTCAACCTATACCCCCTTTCATTTTTCCTTTACTGTCCCTAAACACCTCAAAAATTGTTGAATCTAATATTTATTACTTGTTTCTTAAAAAATATAGATATGCACTGTTCAGTTTTCTAAAGTTATATCTTGGGTATTAATAAGTGCAAAAATGATTTTGCCAGGATTTACAAAAATCACAGCAAAATCTTTTTCGTGCGCACGATACCCATTACAATAACCTATAGTAATATTAACTTACTTTTGCTCAACCTACGAGTATTTATTACCAGGTCGATAAATCTACTTTATCACCCTGTTGTTGGGTGATAAATTATTTTAATCACCAAACAAATTCCCTCAAAATTGATTAAAATAGTTTTTTTTTTGTTCTAGCTTGGGAACTGTGCTTTGCCTGGACATATAATATTTCCTTTCAATTAAATTTTAGGCAAATCCACGGTTCATGAGTTATGATTCGACACACAAGCAGAACAAACAGAGTTTACTACTCAATAAATAAAGCATAAATTTTTTTTAATTTTCTCACAGTTCTCTTGCTATTTTGTTATTCTTTATATAAAAGATTACAATTTTATTGTGACATTAGTATGATCGCACATTTGAGATGATAATATCCCATGAAGAATTTGTGCAAAGCAAAATTTTGTGCTTTATTTGTGCCAATCGATTTTGCATTGATTTTCTGGTTTTTTTTAAAATCTTTTTGAAAATCCAGGGAATAGAGAACGTAATTTGGCTAAAATATTAATAAAATAAATTGAGAGATTTAGAGATAAGAAAAAGATAAGAAAGACTTATATCTTACTTTGGGAAAAATCGTCCAAAGATTGAACTAGAATCCTCTTACACGGCTTATGCTTGATTGAGATTGAATTTGAGAGAAATATTAACTAGGTTTATCTCTCTCAGTTATGAACAATCATTCTAATCTGAAAGTTTAAAAGTATGTTCACAGAAAATGAGAAAATATTTAAGGTTCTCATAGCAATCTCTTATATTTTATGGGTAGTGTTAGTTCCTAGGTTACCTAATTACTACACATTTACTGTTTCAACAATTGCTTATATATTAACATTGTTGGCTTGTTTATCTATCCTTGACTTCTTGTGTACTCGACCAATAGCTCAGAAAACCTTGTTGAATAGGATCTTGGTTCTAGTTATCCTGATTCTAGGACTGGCATCAACCCGAACCTATGCTCTGAACTTCATCACTTGTTGGTTTCATCCTCAACTCATCAGATTTGTAGACAATCACCAATTCTTCTCAACCGTCCTATTCCCTTTGAACAGCTACTCTGTTATAGGATCTGGAATCTTAGTGGCCCTATGCTCTGCTCGGTTACTCCTGATTGCAAAGCCAGTGATTTATCACAATTCCAATTCTAAGTTGTGGTTCTTTCTGGTTGGAATAGGCTCAATCTGTGTTTGCATCCTAGACAGTATGTACAGCTGGTCTACATGCAGAAATTATGGCCATGGGAAGAACATCAGACTCTTGCAGATTGTAAAAACTGAACTAGGACTCCTAGATGATGATTCTGAAAGCTACAACCAAACCCTGGATGTCCACATAGTTGACACTCTGAACAGGTTTAATGTAACAGACTGGGCAAACTTTAATGAAACTGACTCATTCTTCAACAACACCAACACCCTTACCTTCAATGTCACCAAATCTTCTAAAGCAAAAGATGGGTTAAGCAACTGTACTTTCATTCCAGTTTTACAACTCTTTCTTTCTGTGTCTATTGGTCTGGAAGTGACAAGAATGTGCTTAGTTACCAGAAAAGCTGTTATGATTCAAAAGAAAAAAAGGAGGATTGTCCCAAAAGAAATGAAAATGCAGGGAAAAAAAGAAACACCTGCACAGCCAGCTAAAAATACTGCACCAAAAAAATTAAAGCGCACTGCATCATTGCCAAGCATAACAAAACCCTCTTTCCCTGACGGAAAAAGAAAAAGTTCTTGTTTCGAGCTTCAAAGCATCAAAACAGTTGAACAGATTCCACTAAAAAGCGTGAATGCCAAAGAAGAAGCTGAAACCTTCAGAACTGTAAAGAAAAGTATGCGCAGCTTGTGCATGCGATCCTCCACAATTTTCATAGTATTCACAATCGTCGCTGAAGTTGGAATCTCTTTTAAAACTTTTGGAGACAGTGGTTCCCACAGTGGGTATTATTCGACCAGCAATATGATGAATATTGCTGCAGGCAGGCTTGTCTACTATACCCTTGCTGTGTGTATGTTCATTTTTGACAATGACGTTTCTAGGCATATTCTGGAGAAATTCTAATATCACTAGATTACTAAATAACTTTTTACTACAATAAAAGAGTCCTGAAGGGTGTAAGGTACTTTCCCAAATGTATTTGCCCAAGGGACTTTCCAAATGAAAATTTCCCAAGTGGCAACTTCCCAAATATGCAATTTCCCAAGCGGCAAATGTAAAAGTTTAGGTTAAGCCCTCTGAGGTGCTGCAGGCTGCAACAAGGCCAAGCGCTGTGTCTAGAATGGGCCAAGGGACCTAACGCTTCGGTGGCGGCTGTGGAAATTGCCACTTGGGTAATTGCACATTTGGGATATTGCCACTTCTAAAACAAGCTATTGAAGTTACTGATTTTAAACATTTGTTTGCAAAAAAACCACCACTAATTCAAATTGATGTATTTAGTAAAAAATTGATTTAAAAAGAAAATATCAAATTTTTGAAAATAGTTATTTCAACTAAAAACTTATCTCTAAAATAAAACAAAATTGAGATCTCAAGCTCACTGATCATGAAGAATATCTATTTCTTATGATCTCCAGCTCACTGATCATGAAGAATATCTATTTTTGTGATCTCCAGCTCAATGATCATGAAGAATATCTATTTTTGTGATCTCCAGCTCACTGGTCATGAAGGATTTCCCCCACGTGGATTACAATAGTAAGAAAGTTGAACTAACTAAAATTATTATGAATGTTTAAACTGTTAAAGGGAGTGTTTTTGAAAAACTAAGGAGGAATTGAATTGAATATTAAAATTGCTACTCTAATAGTAATTTAACTTTATCTTTCGAGTATGTGAGTAGAAAATGGTTAAAAAATGTTTTATACCCAAGAGCGTATAGCATCAAAAAAAAAATTAGAATTACATTGTTACAATCAGATCGTAAAAAAATCAATCACATTTTAAATCAATAATTCAGATATTAGAATCTATAAATTTCGAATTTAATCTGATACGTTCGTATGACAGGTATTATTTTATAATAATTGTTTTATTTTTTAGTTACGATATACTTTAAACAACAATTTTTTGGCCGGTAGGTGTCTCTCTTTAGTAAAATCCCTTATATATCAAGACCGGAGACACCTAGCGACCAAATAATCGTTGTTTAAAGTCTTCACAAAAGTGTATTTTATATATATATTTATTTAGTTGCATTCATTTTATTACATTTTAGCATGTGATTAATCATGAAAGAGAAATACTTCAAAATAAATGTATGATTTATTGTTTAAAGTTGTAATTTATTGATAACAATTTTATATATTTTACTTTATGATATACTAGCTTGGGAACCCAGCTCTGCCTGGACACTAAGTTTTCCAAATAAAGGTCAAATTACTCAACTTAGAATTTAAACCAAACCTAAACATAGAGGCAAATCGGTCTAGAGGTTCCCGAATTATAATCGGACATATAATATTTAATATAATGATGAAAATTGTGTGTATTGTTAGCGCAGGAAAGCTCTTAGCCAAAGGTTTAAAATATTTCTGAAGAATCTAAATATTTATCTCTCTCAACATATTTGAGAGAAAAGATAATGTTTTAAACCAGAAAAGGATTATATTTTTAACTAGAAAATGATTATGTTTTAAACCTGAATAAAAAAATAATAATAAAATAAATCTGAAACAAGAGTACTTAAAGGGACTGTACAAACGTAATTTTAAGTGAGCCTACATGGACGAAGTGGCATGTCTGATTCACAACGTATACCTTAAAAAGCATTGTCTGATAAAGTGTAAATTAAATGTTCTTGGTTTTTTTTATATTTATTATTTCTATTTGTGATTTCACTATACAATTGTGACCTACGCATTTCTCGTTTAAGAAAAAAATGTAGAAATTAACAGAATGAAACTTTGTTTAAGCTATAAAAAAGACGGTATCTTCCCCATATCATTGATCAGATTAAGGTTTCACAGTTACCGTTGTGAATCGGATATGCTCCCTCTATAAACGGAAGGTCACTTAAAAATACCATGACAGTCCCTTTAAACGATTATGTTACTGAGAATTTACTGTTCTATGACAATTTTATACAAAAACTTACATTTTTTTCCAGGGGGGCCTCAAAACCCCCCGAAATCCATATATTTCACTGGTCCTGGGGTGGGGACTTAGCCCTTGAGGCCCCCCCCTGACGACGCCTCTGAATACCGTTAACGAATCGAATTTCTGAAAATTTAACTAAATAAAAAGTAAAAAAATATTGTCACTGTTCCGCTATAGGAGTATAATGCAGTAAGACCCAAACACTGTGGAATAGGAAGACGGCATGTAATAAATAATTTAAATAGTTAAGACAGGTCATATTTTGAAATTTACATAACAGGGGGAATTATGATTACTTACAGCGACTGTATGGTGCAAAATACTAATATGCTGCATCATTACTTTGATGATATATTATATATACATCAGACATGATTAAGATATGTTATAAACATAATAAATAACTATGATATGTTATATACATCATACATTACTATGATATGTTATATACATCATACATAACTATTTCATGTTATTTACATTATACATAACTATGATATGTTATATACATCATACATAACTATAATATGTTATAAACATAATAAATAATTATGATATGTTATATACATAAAACATAATGATGATGTGTTATATACATAATACATAACTATGATATGATACATACATCATACATAACTATGATGTGTTATATACATTAAACATAACTATGATATGTTATATACATCATACATAACTATGATATGTTATATACATAATACATAACTATGATATGTTATATACATTATACATAACTATGATATGTTATATAAATAATACATAACTATGATATGTTATATACATACAACATAATGATGATGTGTTATATACATAATACATAACTATGATATGATACATACATCATACATAACTATGATGTGTTATATACATTATGCATAACTATGATATGTTATATACATTATAACAACTATGATATGATACATAATCATTGCCTTAATTAAGATATTATAAACCTCTTATTAATAAACATTACGTGGCGCCGCGCCGCAGGTAACATTATTTTAATTCTATTTTCAAAGCAAAGACTATGTATATATATATATATGTTTATTGTATATGTATGTATGTATTTGTATATATGTTTATTGTATGTGTATGTATGTATTTGTATATATATTTTTAAAGAGTCTATGATGAAGAAGCTATAAAATTCCAAACCTTCAAAGTTGCGTTCAAATCCCCTCTTCCTTTTTTGTTCCTCTTTTTAGATCTCTTTTGTGTTTTATTTTTTTCATAATTTTTTCTTTTCTTTTCAATAGAAATTATATATTTTCCTGTTAATTTTCAGTTCCCTGTACAAGTTCCTTGTTGAAATCCTAGTTCCGGTTTGGTTCAGTTCTTGCAATGTTTTTCCTGCATAAATTATACTACACATGTTTTTACTGAACATTCCTAAGCCCGAGCCCATAAGAAATTACTAGGGATATTCGGACCAATAATATACAGTGCTACCCACTAAGCATGAAACTATACTGACTACTTAAACACTAGTAAATTAGAAGTTTATTAAATAATTGTGCAAAGAAATATATAGTTTACAGATCCGGAGGGAACAATAAATGTCAGAAAAAAAGACTAAAAAAATCTAAAAATATTATTTTTTATATTGTATTTAATTTTTTTTTTTAAATTGTTTTTGTTTATAAAGTAACATGTTCGGTGTAGATGTCTACCAAGTTTTTTAACAAAGAGAAGTTGTCAATTAACAACTTCTCTTTGTTTACTTGTAAACATGTAATTTGAAGATAGCTATTTAGAAATCAAAACTGTATTTAAGGCAGAAGACTTAATTTATCCCTAGGATCGTCATATTGTAAAAGTTTAATGTCGTCTTTTCAGTCTAATACTTCTATT